ATCGAGTTTTACAACGCTTATGGTAAGATTCACGAGAGTGGCTGAGCTTTGAAATTATACTTATTTGAGTAGATCAATAGGTCTGCATTTTTTTCTCTCAGATTTTCAAAGTCACCTTCAATGATTTTCAAGGCTTTCCACCACTAAGTTTGGTCAAATGTTGTAATTGGTGTTTTGTTGTGTTGTTTTGCTGCTTTGGAGATAAATATCAAGTAGTGTCAGTTGGAGTCGTATCAATCATACGGAGAAATACGACAGATGATTGACCGCTCTTTCTTTCTCTCTCTCTCTCTCTCTCTCTCTCTCTATCTATCTCTCTCTCTCTCTCTCTCTCTCTCTCTCTCTCTCTCACACACACACACACACACACACACACACACACACACACACACACACACACACACACACATCCTCTCTTCCACACTCGTAATATGTACACATAAACAAAATAATCTCTGCTTTCACTGACAAGCATACGCACAGTCAGGTGCATAATATAAAGAATTTATTACCAGAGTTATGTTGGTAGATAATGATTTATCCTACGAGTAAAATTGTCAAGTTCAACGAGTGATTACAATAACTTGCAATTTTACAAGAAGGATAAATCATGGCATACCCCCTTAATGTGTGTTGTGCACCCTTTTTTTTTCTTTTTCTTTTAGCATGTTAACTAGATTACTTAAATTTAATATACATTCACGTAGGGTATAGAAATTTAACGCATAGTCTAGATCTAGATCTAGATCTAGATCTAGATATATATGTTTTCTGATTTTCCTTCTCATCTCTATTTTTAATGATCCGTTTTATGTTCCGTGACATAACTTATTTACAAGCTTGAAAAAATTCAACGTGAACATACATAACCTTAATAATTATGGCAGACATGATAATATTCAGAACCAAAGGAACATTTTCATGCCAATTGATTTATACAATAATATATAATTCCCTTAACAACTGACCTCAGGTGGAAACTATTTGAGATGTAACGTCCGCCCTTTCGAGAACAAAGCATGAAGCACTTCGGCTTGCCAATCCAAATGATCGGCGGAAGTGAAATCGTTGGCGTTCATTATGACTTATAGTGTATCTACCGTTTCATACCATTAAAAAAAAAAGTGTATAATGATGCATAATATTGAATTCTGTTCACTTTTCTTGCTTGGAGAAGGAGACTAGATCTATATTGTAACTAGCTAGGCCCCCTTTCGATGAAAGGAATGATCGGTGCATTAACATCAACGGGAAGTCATTGGCCTATTATATTTACACTCTATTGGAATGGAGCAATAAATCTTGAGAGAAAATTGGCACATGTGTGTCAAGCTGCCAAATAATAGATATATAGATTGATTCTCTATTCTGATTTCGTGGTTGTATACTCCAGAATTTCAAAAGTGTGGTACCAGTGCTCACGGTTAGTGAACGGAAACCTCACTTGTTTACAATGGCGTCTTAGAAGACGAACTTTCCCAAGATTCGATCTAAACGAAACTAATGAAAAACTGAAAATTAAACTACTGTGACTTCAGACTCATCAATAAAACTGTGCCCCCTTTGAATGATTCTGAACCAGTATTCATTTTTTCAATTTCGACAGTTAAATGGTTGGGAAGTTTCAGGCTGCCAAAGTGACGGACTTTCATAAATATAATGTATAGATGTGCTATTTAAAATCAGATGGAAACTGACAACATCTGCTGCGACAGGCAAAAAGGGGGAAGGGGGGTTAGAAAAGGACACAAAGTGTGTATAAGTATGTGTGTATATAATATTCCTTTATCATTGTAAACCAGAGTTCAGAAATGCCCGAAATAAGCCTAGGAAGCTAATTTTTGCAGTAATAAACAGAGATGAAAAGCATTCTTTTCCACCTGAGTTTGTAAGTCTGCCAACGTCTGAATTTGTTGAGATCACAGCATTAATGAAGGTACTCTATCTGCTAAATTATTATCGCTAATCCTCTCTGAGAATCGAGGTATGTGTGTTATTGACCATATTATGCTGTTTCTTTTTTTCGTTTTTATTGGGGGGGGGGGGGGGGGGGGTAAGTGTTTTACGGCGCTCGCAACTGCATAAGGTCATATAAGCGCGCTGGACACAGAAACATTTTCTGTTTCGTAGGAAATTTTGAATTTTGTCCGGGTGGCGGTCGAAGCCGACTCTTACCAATTTAGACCACCAAGTGATCTTTAACACGGGATCTCCGAGATTTTTCGCCCGTGTCCGAGAAAGCTAGGTGTAGATCTTTCCTACCAGAAGATCAGAGGTGTGGCTGAAAGACAGCAGTAAGAAGGGGCCAAGGAGTAGCAGTAG